ACCAAGTGGCTGCTGCCAGCTGCTCTGTAGGGTCTTAAACCAACACCTGGCAATGCAGCTGAGAGTATGTGCATTTGTTTGCCCTGGGTAGCTAGAAGCAAAGGGAAGAGAATCAAAATACCATGATCTCCTAATTTTTGTTCTGTGCTTCTGCATTTAATGAGGTAGCTGATGGAAATCAGAGGTGCTCTCTGCTCATTGCGACACGATGAACCCCCTCAGTGAACTTAAATTTATCCTCTGGCTGCCCTTTCCTCAATGACTAGAGTGAAATGAGGCAATAACCTTATTTGATTTGCACATGCCACAAAACTTTCCGCTGAGGTTAGAGACCTCTGTGCAGCTGATTTAAGCCTGCTGGTTCTGGGTTGGTTTCTTCTTCACACACTGAGTAGATGTATGCTGCAGTCCCATTCCCTCAGGCTGGAAACCACTGAAGTTGATGAATATTAGAAATCCAATGCTGATGGGTTTAAAGGAGAAATAATCTGTTCATGCAGTATGAAAAGTATATATATGATCTAACAGTATGGTTGTACAGCTTTGTTTTTCAGATTCTGCAATGCATTCTAAATATGGTATTTTGGGCCCAGTTCCTAATGAGATCCCTAATGAGAAATGGCAGATTAAAGACACCTCAGCAATAAGGACTAAAGCTGATGAAGTGAGAATTTGCATAATTATGAGCTGAGAACTTTAAGAACATGTCACTCATGTCCCGGTGGAGAGCACAGCTGATATCTGAGACCACAGAGAGAAAATACCATGTAGGGAAACCTGATGCTGTCCTGAGCTCTGTTCCACTGTGGGGAATGTTTGGATTTATGGGCTGTATATTTGTGCTATTCATGTAGCTGTTAACAAGTGAGGTGGAATACACCTGCAAGGCATCTTGAATTTCCTAGAAAAGTAGTTTCCTGCATATGGCAAAATTGTCTTTTGCTTGTCAGTAAGGGAAAAAAAATAAAAATAACAGAGTCAAAAGATTTTGGACAACATTTTCTTAGAATCTAGTTAGTGGAATGGCCACTTTTTTGGGTTTGGATTTGACATCCTGATATTGGCTGTAGCCTGAAAAGCTAATAACAATCTGCTTTCGTTCAGCACAACAATACTACAGCTATGTTTCTGCCRGTGGTAATGTCTCTCTATGAGCAGTAGACACTCGCACTTACCAAAGCTGTGAGTCAAATGAAGCTCAAAGRCTATTTAATCCCTAACTTGAAGCTTCATTTTCCTAACTGCTGCAGCTGTAGTGATTTCCATGGAAATCAGTAGGTTTAACTCATTATTATGGTTTCCTTTGCTTAAAATTGCTTTCAAAACCATTTTATTATTTGTTGGTTGGTTTTTATATTATTTTATTTCTTTCATTTCAGCGAACTGTTCTTAAAGAACAGACTGTATAAAAGATCTGATAAAGACGTTACATTCAAAGTGCTATTTGTGGGTGAAAAACGACCTTTATATATAAAGCCAAGATTTTATTATTAGTGTTAAATTTAAACAGTGCAATCCAAGAATCATTATTAGTTGAGATCTATTTATTATGGAAAATAATACTTCTGCACAGGAAGAAGTTTCTGTAGTAGTAGAGGTAGCATTATTATTATTATTATTATTATTATTATTATTATTATTATTATTATTCCTCTACTACTACAGAAAATAATAATAATAATAATAATAATAATAGTACTGTGGTCAAAATTCTTATACACACACTTCTTGGTTTCTATTGATTTTCCTGATGTTTCATCCAGCCTCCTTCAGTTCCTGTGGGTCCTGAAATGGCCAGTTTCAGTGTGATGGGGTTCAGCGAGAGCATTATGGCATGTCAGTGGCATCTGGAGTCCACTTCTGGGAAGGATATGATGTTCACCATGATGGCTTATTTTTCCTTATRCTTCCTTATGCTAGGAGCTTCTTGGGGCCATTTTTATGTTTGATAACACGTGTTTAGACCTTCTGGTTCCTCATTGATCTGAAGTTCCACATTACAGATAGGTTTTACAGATAGTGCTTTATGTTAGACACTTCTTTGCTCTCCTTGTTGCCCCAAAAAGTAGTTTTGCCCAGCCCAGGTCTGCATTTCTTCAGCTGAACACYAGTGGGTTGTTTAKAGCTGTGATGTCTGCATCCCCTGGCCCATCTCTCTGGTTGTGGCCACACCATATTTCAGTCCTGCATGGAATAGAGGTCATGATACAGTTCAGGCATGCTTCCAACATTACGGGGCATATATATAGAAAATGTTATTATCAGGTAATATTCATCCTGAAGAGAAAAAAAAAATTAATAAAAAACTCAGATGCAAAGACACAGTCCAGTAGAAAACAGTAGAAAATTCCGCATGGTGAAATTTTATCTGTAAATGAGCAAAAGTCACAGTAGGGACCTTAGGGCAAGGWAGGAGCAGGAGGCAAGATTTACAGACACATGTTTACTTATAACTAATGCAATCCACAGCTCTCCATTCATTTATTTTCAAGAATATGTAATRCATTTATTCCTGGGTGAGAGTATGTATGAGTTAACAAGAGACACCAGTCCAGAGATATGTATTAGAAACTGTGAACTGAAAGTGAGCACGCATAAATATTTCATCTTTGGGCATTACTTCAATGCCTGCCACCTGCAAGGGGGTGTCTACAGATGCAGGCAGGACTGCACAGCTGGGCAAGTGTTAGCAGGAGTGCACGCCTTGCATCAGTGGTAAGGCAAAAGGAGAGCATCCTTATTTCTCTTCTACATCTGTAAATTGGCACTTTCTGCATTGCTGTGAACATTAAGAACCACATAAAGGGTGTCAGGTTTTCTCCTTGATTGCACTCCTGTTAATCCATTTAACTCTGTACCACAAACAGTGAGCACAGATCAGCTGTTGTTAGTGATTTGACTGTGCTATTCCCAGATGATAAAACTCTTCCATTTCCCTTCCATTGTAGAAAATGTTGGAGAGCTCAGCAATTCTTGGAAGTTAAGTTATATATAGTGATTAATCTTTCAGAGATCGTATAATCATAGAATATCCTGAGTTGAAAGGGACCCACGAAACCTATTTCTGGCCCTGAACAGGGTACCCCAAGAATCATTTCGTGTGCCTGAGCTTGTTGTCCAAACATTTAATGAACTCTTGTCGGGCTTGGTGCTGTGACCACTTCCCTGGGGAGCCTGTTCCAGTGCCCAACCACCCTCTGGGTGAAGAACATTTTCCTAATATCCAAACTAACCTCCCCTGACAACTTCAGGCCATTCCCTTGTGTCTTGTCGCTGTCACCACAAAGAAGAGATCAGTGCCTGCCCCTCCTCCTCCCCACACAAGGAAGGAGTGAGATCTCCCCTCAGTCTCCTCCAGGCTGAAGAGACCAAGTGACCTYAGCCACTCCTCACACAGCTTCTCCCAAAGCCCTTCGCCATCTTTGTTTCCCTCCTTTGGACACTCTTTAACAGTTTAWTATCTTTCTGATATTGTGGCTCCCAAAGCTGTCCCCAGCACTCGAGGTGAGGCCRCCCCAGGTCAGAGCAGAGCAGGACAATSCCCTCCCKTGCCCGGCTGGTGTTGYTGTGCCTGATGYCCCCCAGGACACGGGTGGCCCTCCTGGCTGCCAGGGCACTGCTGACTCACGTTCAACTTGCCATTGACCAGGACCCCAGGTCTCTTTTTGCAGAGCTCTTTCCAGCATCTCCTTTCCCAGTCAGTACATCCAAGGCTGCCCTGTCCCAGGTGCAGAATCCAGCAATTGTCTTTATTAAACTTCATAGAGTTGGTGATTGCCCAGCTCTCTAATTTGCCAAGGTCTCTCTGCAGGACCTCTCTGCCTTTGAGGGAGTCAACAGCTCCTCCCAGTTTAACAGATGATTCTCAGTTTTGAATGTTTAGTCTTTCACATTACTCTGTAAGGAAACTTTCCATCTTTACAAAACTGAAAATAAAATAATGGAATTGGYTCTGATGGAGAGATGGCTCTGCTGGAATAGTTTTCACGTGTAGGAATCACAAGTCACTCACAGTTTGGATTCCTTTAGGTTTTTTTTTTTAGTAATTCAGGTGCTTGTTGCACTAGCTTGTTGGATGCAAATCCAGGAGTGTGCATAGGAACAGAGGCAGTGTGTTTTTATCAGGAGAACATMAACAATCTGCAGTGCACAGAATAATGACACTGGCAGTAATCATATGGATTCTAGCACCATAGCTAGACTTCCAGTTTGGGCTCTGATGATCCATGCTATCATACCCATTTTCAAGTGACTTATGGTGAGTGCAGATAACCAAGTGAAAAATTCCTTTCAATGCAGCTCTTCCTCASCTGGGTTGCCTCACGCTAACAAAATATGCATAATGCTAGGTAAGAGCTTTCACATTTTCAACTTTATCTTGTCAGTTGAAATATGGCAGTGAAGAAAACTGTGCTTAGATTGATTCAGGCAGATTATGCTGAAAAGCCAGCATTTGCAGTGATTGTTTATTTAAATGTATGAAGGTGAAATACGGAAAACACTCTCTAAGCTGAACTASTGGAATACAGATATATGTAATGTTTGAAAAGCTCTGGCCTTCTTTGCCAATTTCATACCTGTGAACTGTTTGCCAAATAATAAATTACTAAAATTGTAAGTAAACTAGCAAGGTTTTTATATAGATATTCTTAGTATAGCAAGGTTTTAAATAAGTATTCTTGTCCTTAGACTATAAGTGTTCTTGTCCTTAGACTGTTTTGTACTATCAGCTGATAAGGTGGGTTCAGTATTGTCATTCCAAAGTGAGCTTTTATACATGTAATTACATGGAGCTGAGGTAAAAATTATATTGTGTCTAATTATATCTAATATAAATAAGGTATTCTATTTCAAGTGGGTCAGTCAAACTTACAGGAAGAAAATCCAATAATGGGAGGCTTAAATGCAGAACATTTCTTTTTTATTAATTTAAGCCATTTTAAATGCAAAAATATAACATGAAAGCTTACTTTTAGGCTCTTATTTTTCTTTTTTAACAGGACTGGGAGTTTCCACATTTTATGGGCGATGTTGAAGTGAATCTTCCAGGCTTGCCCTCAGCACATATGCAATTCAAATTACCTTATTTCCAAAAGATACTGAAAGAGGAATATCACATACATATAACAGGTATGTAATCTTACAGATTGTGACACTGTCACWCAAGGAAATTCTTCTGTGTAATAAATGTATGCTACCATGGTATTAACCATGGTACTTCCGTGAGTGTGTCCCAGGCATTTTTTCAATCACTTTATCTGCCCATATCCTTATTCTCTGTATATAAATATCTCAAGGATATGAGAAACCCATATCTTACAAATCAGAGAGGCTTGCTGTTTTTCATGGATTTCAGCAACTTCTTGTGACAAGTAATACATAATGTAACCTCAGACATCTTTTATCTAAAATTACTCTCCCAGGGAAATTAGCAGCTTATTTCATCTTCAAATCTCTTGTGCTTTCAGATGCCTTTGCTGTGATTTATGCTAATATCTTTTCATAACTTCGGTCATTCTCGTCTGGCAAAGGCCACTCATAATCATACTTCCATCAGTCATCTAAGGAGAAGCAGACAGTTAAATAACCTCAAATAAAATACAATTGCAGCCATTCAAWTGGATGATACATATAGATAAAAAGTACCTGATCCTTGCATACTGTGAGTCAGTATTTTAATAACAGTAGGGAATGAAAAAGAAAAGAAGGTTAAGTAGGGATAAATATTTTGGTTTTACCTTCAAGCTATACAGAAGGAGTATAGCTCCTCTCTCTACACTGAGAAGAGATGGATAATAATGGATAACAGAAGAATGCAGGTGTGAATTGGCAGGGGTCTTTAACTGCTAATATAAAAAGTCACAGCACATGACACCGCAGAAATAAGATAGATGAGGGCAACCAAGGACACAGCCATATGAAACTCCTGCAGACCAGGGACAAAAGGAGTGTTCAAAGATGATACAAAGGCCAAGAGCTGGCAGGTGAGTCACAAGCTCAGGAGACAGCAGAAGCCAAGGGAARAAAATGTGTCAAGGGAATAATGACACCGGCACTGAGTTGAGATAGACTGAATGAAGCCTCAGAAGAGGTATTTTCAGCAGAGAATACAGAAATGAGATTAAAAAAACAGAAAAGAAGATAAAATTAGAGCAGAAGTTGTCTGTTGGCTATTGAATGAGGAAAGGCAAATGGGCCAGGAGGAATTATGGATTTCAGAATTGGATATAGGTGCCTTGTTGGAATRCTGACAGAGAACAGCCAGCCAGCAAGGAGAGAGAAGAGCTGGGACACATCTGAGGGAGATCTTTGTAGCCATCAGTGCTTTATGGAACAGGATAAAGTAAATTATGTCCCAACCAGTGACTAGAAAGTGCAGAGTGAAAGATGTGATGTGTACATGATGGACACATTTTTCTCTCCAAAGTGAGCAAAAGAAGAAAGGAACAGAGGATAGAAAAGAGTTTGAGCGTGAAATATTTTATGTGAATGATAGGTATGATATTCAGGGAGAGTAAAAATAGATTTCTTTTTTCTCTTTTCTCAAGACTAGGGAATGAATTTGAAGGTGCTCAGTCCCACAGGCTACTGTTATTCCATTGTATAAGGATAAGTAGTGGAATKGATGCACAGAGGAGCAGCAAAAATGACAGAGGCATGGTAGTTTGGGCTGTGTCACCAGATGCAGAAATTTGGCATACAACTAATGCGTGATACAGGAGGAATTGAAGAGCAGAGAACAGTTTTGCTTTGTAGAAGAGGCAGAGACATCAATAATCAGGGGTAATCAAAGAATAAACAAKAGCAAAGAACATAAATTAGTGATCAGAAATGCAACTGCTAGCAGTGCTGCTATTTGAAAATAGGCYAACCAAAGGAAACCAATATTTATGTATTGTAGTCTTCTGCAGAGASGACTAGAGTCCTTTCTGATTTTCTAGTGAGAAAGCATTCTTTTAATGAGGATGAGATAATGAATGAAGGTTGAGGAAAATTCTTCCCTGCTCAGCATTAACAAGATCCATTTATTAGATTCACTARACAAATCAATCCATTTGACTGCACATCACGTATCCTGTCTACTGAGTGCCTGTTTTATCTCAGTGCTACACCACCCTTTAGGAGATCTAATAAACAGCCATAACACATGGCACARGAACCTCCCTTTGGGTAGGTTTTCCTTGAACCATCTGTTCTTGCCATCAGTTCTTGTCTTGGGTTAGGGCATCATCTTGGATCCTTTTCAAACTCTAGTTACTATGTGGATGTGCAGATACTTGAACATTCTACTCAAATCAAGGTGCTAATAAAGGAAAAAGTTGTTTATATATATATATATATATATTATATATATATATGTATATATATATATAACAAGATGAATATAATCCAATCTAAAATGAGGGTAGAGAGTGATGCACATGAATGCAACTGCAGCAGATGACATGGGGGTAGGACAATGATAACAGTAAGGAGCCCAGCCAGCCCTATTTAAACCCTGTTTAATACACAGAATCCAGAATGTTAAATTTAAACATAACATTTCTTTTAAGTAACAAACAGTAAAAGAAGACTGAGACCTGAAGAGATTTTTTTAGTACTAACTATATAGATAAATCCAGGCTATAAATCTATGACCTGTACTCTGATTTTTAGAAACTAGAAACCATTTTCTCTCAAGCAGTGAGGAGAAAGAAAGCATGGCTGACATAACATTTGCCATCTTTTCCTGGTCAAATTTTATTCTTTATTAGTTCTTATACAATCTGGTTTAGTCACTGTTGATTGATATAAATAAAAGCAGCCCTATTCGATACTATTTTTTTCAAATAAGCAGTGGTACCACAAAGAAGCAGCTCTAAGGAAAGGGACATTCAGAGGAGTAAAGGACTTCCAGCCACCTTTCTGTTGGCTCATCTTTAATGGCTTTGTGCAAATTCTGTATGGATGAAAAATTTCACATTTACATGCTCTGTGTTGCCACCTCTCCTGGTTTTATCACAAGGCTTAAGAAAGTTGTTTCTTTTTCTTTTTCTTTTTCTTTTTCTTTTTCTTTTTCTTTTTCTTTTTCTTTTTCTTTTTCTTTTTCTTTTTCTTTTTCTTTTTCTTTTTCT